CCAGCACTGTGGCCAGCAGGTCTCTCCTGTCCCGGGTGCCCTGGAGGGAGCGGCTGTGCAGCCACGCCAGCCAGCCCGTGTGGAGGGTGGATAGGAAGGGGGCACAGTGTGGTCTGACAGAGGAAATATTAACAGTGGACAGAGACAACACCACCTTCTTCAGTGACCGGACAGGGCCAGTCAACAGCTCTTGGATGTGATTTTTCTTCACTACATAAGGACCTATTTTGGAAACAAAAGGGCGCAAGACAGCAATGATGGAAAACTCTTTTTTAAATCCTTCAGGGCCTCCTATCCACCACTTTCCTCCAAGCTCGTGGGACATTTCTACTTTCAGGTTTCCTTGACACCATACCTGGAGGGTTATGAGCAGGTGTGGACAGCGTCCATAATCCTGATTATACCATGAAGCCTCCATGCCTAATTCAGATCTAGTAAGTGTTTTGTTCTCGCGGAGGCAGCTCACTGGAACGACCCACTTGCGGCCGTTTGGGGCAGTTACCGTCACGGTGGTGCCATCAATTTTCATCGGATCAGTTACACTTTCTTGGGAGTATTTAATTTCCAATTTTACCTGGTTGCCAATTTCAACATATGGGGCTGCATGCCAGGCCAAAAAATGGCACTTTGAGATCTTAATGGCAGCAAAGGAGGGTGTCGTGGTGCTGATCTTGAATTTAAAGGACAACCCCACGCCGTGTTCTGCCCAGAGGCAGACCACAAAGACTGGCTGAACCAAAGTAAAGTTGTGCCAGCAGTCCAATTTTTCCACAGCACAGTTTTTTTTCTGACTCGTATTAGTTTTTACTTCAGTTACAGAGATTTGAGTTACTGCTTGGTGAGTGGATGCATTAATTAGCCTGCATCCCACCTTTATTTGCTGTCCCACCCTCCCCAGCAGCTGTGGAAGTCTGTTTGTGCTATCCCAGCTCCACTCATTTTCCAAGTACAGCTCTGTCCCACGCATAACCACCGTTGACAAATTTAAGCCCGTGTCAGAATTTAACCCCATGCTTCCTGTATATTTTATGTAAGCTTGAGACCAGGGCCAATTGGTCTCAGCTTTTGTGTACCTCCTAACCCTGTGCTGGGCTGTGGCCTGTCTGTCATGGTGCCTTTCCAAGTGGGAACGAATGACTGTTTGTTCAAGGTGCTGATGGGTTGGTTGGGCACATTGGGTGCTCAGCGCTATGCACATACCAGAAAGCAAAGTAAATCCCGCAATCACAAATTTGAAAGCATTTTCCCCGCAGCAAAAACAGGGCTGGTGATGCCACGAAGTTCGCCCTTCCCGCCGGTCACAATCGCCTTCCATTTTCCTTTATCTGCAAAACATAAGCAAGGAGGGCTCTCCAGCCCCGTTAGTTTCCCTTCCATGCTTTTAATTGTGAAGAATGGAGCCATTTTCCCTGCCTTTTTGCCCCCTTTCTGATTTCTACCTGGTACACAGAGGGGCTGGCCTTGTTCACAACCCTAACGGGCCCCATCCATTGGGGTTCCAGCACCTGGTTCTTCTCTCTAACCCCTCGATACATTACCAGGTCCCCTGTGTTCCACTCCGTGGGGCGCAGCAGCACTCCCAGCTGCTTATCCATCTTGGGGATTTTGGTCTCCTGCACTGAGGTGAGCTGGTGGTACGTGGCTGACACTGTCCTCAGCATGTCCTGGACCCACCTGTCCATCAGCACACGGGGCTGAAGTTCAGCCGGGGGTTCCCCTCCTTGCCACCAGTGTTCCAGAAGCTTCGGGTCTCTTGCAGGAGGCAATTTTTGGGAAGAAAGTGCTTGAGATGCCATGGACCCCCGCAATGCCAGCAGGATCAGTGGGAGTTTCTGATCCCAGTCTTTTCTTTGCTGGTTCATGAGCTTCCTCAGTGCTGTCTTCAGTGGTTGATTGGGCCCCTCTGCTGAGGTGGGTTTCTGGAAATGCCCTGTGATGTGAAGCTTTTGCTTGATTCCCAGGGCCTGACACACCCCTTTTGTGACTTCTCCGATGAAGCGCTGGCCATGGTCTGAGTCGATCTCCTTTGGGATGCCCCATAGTGAGAAAATATGGTCTACTAGGATCTTTGCAGTTGCACTGGCCGTGTTGTTTCGAGCTGGAAATGCTTCCACCCAATTGGTGAAGTTATCACTGATCACTAGGCAATACTTGTTGCCGTGGGCTGTTTGGGGCAGAGGGCCAATAAACTCCATCTGCAACTTGCTCCATGGCCCAGAAATCCTCTGGGGGCCCAGGAGGGCTTTGGCTGTTTTGGCATCAGGATTGTTGGCTGCACATGTCAGGCAGTTGCTGACATACCTCTCCACATCCTCTCTCATTTCAGGCCACCACCCAACACCCTGCAGCCTCACCATGGTCTTGTCTGTACCCCAATGCCCCTGCTCGTGAGCCAGGGCCACCAGCTCTGTCCGGACAAGTTCAGGCACCACCCAGACTGGGTAGTCTGCCCCCTCCCTCCGCGCCAGGACCAGCCCTGAGACGTCCTTCCACACTTTGCACCCTTTGTACTCCCTGCCCTGTGCTAACTCCCAGAGCCTGGGGTCTTGTGCCTGCAAGCCCACTAGATCCACATTCTCCCAGTGCCTGCTGGGCACCACGGACAGAGGGCTGTTGTCTGCAATCTTGCTGGCCTTCCACATCAGCCCTTCCTTTGCACCTTGCTTGGCTTTGGCATCTGCCTCCTTGTTCCACTTGGCTTCCTCTGTTCCCTTCTTGTGGGCCTTAACCTTAATGATCTGGGCTGGGCAGGCCCTCTGCTCCGCCAACCTCGCAAGGTACAGCAGCTTTTTGGCATAGGTGACAGGCTTGCCATCGGCAGACTGCATGTCCCTCTCCTTCCAGAGCGGCAGCCACTCCAGCACCACACGCACAACCCAGCCTGAGTCTGAGAATATGGCCAGCGGCTGATCTGCCGGTGTGTTCTCCAGGGCGGCCATCACGGCCACCAGCTCGGCAGCCTGGATGGAGTGCGGCAGGCACTTCCCCTTCACCACCTCCCCCGTGCCCCAGTTGACAGCGGCATAGCCCGTGTAGGGCACCCCTTCCTCGTGGTAGTTGGACCCATCTACGAACCACACAACGTAGCCTCTCTCCTTGGCCTCCTCCAGGCGGAGGTTGCTCTCAAACAGAGGTGCCCGCCGTGGCTTGGGCTCGGTAAGGGGGCCCACCGGCTCCTGCCCATCCCTCTCTCCACTGATTACCACCCTGTAGGCACCGGGCGAGGGGTCCCCAGGGGTCTCCTTGTTGGTCAACGACAATGCCCAGTTGGCCATGGCCATCCTGGGGTACTGCAGGGGACCCTCATCCCTCTTCCCCAACAAGAGGTACGTCACAGGGGTGCGGGAGGTCCTCAGCAGCACTGGGGCTGACCCCACCACGTATTCCCAGTGCTGCAGGGCCCAGGTCAGGGCTAAAACCTCCCTCTCATAGTCAGTGAACTGTTGCTCGACTGGTGTCAGGAGGCGCGAGGTGTGGGCAACAGGGAGCATGTCGGCACTGTGTTGCTGGCCCAGGGAGGCCTGAAGCCCCCTGCCCGTGCAGGCCAGCTGCAGAACATAGGGGCTGTCCCCCTGAGGATGTGCCAGCACGGGAGCTTGTGCCACACTCTCCTTTAAGGTCTTTACTGCCTGGTCCTGCTCTGGCCCCCATTCCCAGGGGGTGTTCTTTTTCAGGAGGTGGCAGAGGGGGGCTGCTTTTTCTGCGTAGCCTTTGATGAACTCACGGCATAACCTCAGGAGAGACAGGAAGGACCTGAGGGTGGTGGCATCGGATGGTGCCAACATCTTCTGTATTAGCTCAACCCTCTGCTTTTCCAGTGAGCGCCCTTCCTCCCCCAGGGTCACCCCCATGAAGGAGACCTCCTTCCAGCACAGCTGGGCCTTTGTGGGGTTGATTCTGAAGCCCGTCTTCTGGACAGCCTTCAGCACCTCTGCCAGCACCTCCAGGTTCTTCTCCTTGGTCCGGGTGTGGATGAGGACATCACCAGCACAGGACAGTACGCTCTCCTGGTGGCCAAGCTGCTCCCACATCTTCGCCACGTGTGCATGGCAGATGGCAGGGGCATTGTGGAAACCCGGAGGGACTCTGGTGAAAGCAAACTGCCGTCCTTGAAGGGTGAAGGCAAATTTGTGCCAGGACTCGGGGTGCAAGGGGATGGCAAACGATGGGCTGGTCAGGTTGAGCACCGAGAACCACTTGGATCCCTGGGAGATGGTTGCCATGATGGCAGGGTACCTGACCACTGTGGAGGTCTGCGGTGGGGTGACACGGTTCAGGGCACTGAAGTCAACTGTCAGCTTCCACGTTTTCCCATCGGCTTTCTGCAGGGGCCACACCGGGGCGTTGCAGGTGCTCTGCTGCTCCACCAGCACACCCTGGTCCAGCAAGGTTTTGACTGTGTCCCACAAGCTGTCCTCAGCCTCAGCCGGGTACCAGGGCTGAGGCTGAGGAGGGGCATCCGGTCCTTTGACTACCACGGCAGCATCAATCTGCCCACAGTCCAGCTTGCTCCTTGCCCAGACCTGGGGGAACTGCTCCGTGACCCGTTTCACTCGGGGCTCCCACTCAGGGTGGACCAGGAGCTCAGGGGCTTTCACTGACATCACCCTATGGCTCGCCGGGATGACAGGCACATCAATTTGTGGGCAGTGTAGCAGTGCTTGGTTTGCCAAGTCCACCACCACCCCCATCTTTGTCAGTGCAGAGATGGCTAAAATTCCCAGCTTTCCCTTTATTTCCATTTTCCCAAATTTTTCAGACCCTTTGGCAGTCCCAATTTCAAAGGGTACGGGCCCTGTGAACGGCACTGGGGATTTTTGGCCGTCCGGCCCTGTCAGTTCAATAATTTCAGAGGTTTGGAAGATCCCGGCTTTGCCGGGGGTCATATTCAGAATTGAATAAGAGGCACCAGTATCAATTAACATCACTTGTCCAAGCACCCCTCCTCCAATAGTTGTATCAACTATCGGACGCCCCCACAAATCGGTCTTAATCGGTGCCACAAAAAGGGGCGACGCAGGTGCCTGGCAGCCCTATTGCTGAGCCTTAGACCCCGGGTCAATCAGGTGGGAGCTGCTGTGCTTTTTGGCCTCATGCAGGGCCAGTTTTTGGAAGAGCTCCGCATCTGGCAAGCCATCAATGTCCTCCTGTTTCTCGTATTTTATCAAGCGCTTCCTCAGCTCAGCCCGCCAAGGGTTGGACTTCTGAAACCTCATCCCTTGCTGGTTCTCCTTCCCCAAGCCCCCTTTGCCATCAAGATCTTTTCGGTTGTCTCCTTGCATTTTTCTCATCCCTGCATTTTGGAAAGGCATGGCCGAGGTTTTCCCTTTCTTCCCCCCCACCATGTACCCCGGGAATGCCTGCTTTTGCAGCTCAAAATTCTGGTTCAGGATCTGCTCCAGCTCCGACAGCGGCTTTTTGGCTGCATCCCCACCAGCGATCACCCGCAGCGGGGGTGTCAGCCCCACCACCAGTGGCTCCTTGAATTCAGGCCTGTCAAAGTCGAGGGGGGAGTCCTTCGATCCAGGCAGCCCAGCCATCTGGTAGAGCATCTTCTTACGATTAATGTAGGCATCTGGCCGCTCCTCGGGGCTCTGCTTCTCCTGGTGGAAGAGTACTAAGGGGTTGACCTCTGGGAAGAACACCTTCAGCACGGCCAGCTGGACGTCCCTGATATCCTGGACATTGCCCATCTGCACATCCCCCGGCAGTGCCGCGAAATCATCTGGTTTCATGCACTTTCTCACAACGTCTATCAGGTCACTCACGAAGTTGCCGCTCTGGCACTTGGGTAGACGCTGGACCCTGGACAGCCAGTTGATGGCTGTATCCTTTGACAGTGGCCCCAGCATCTTCCCCACTGTCTTGAGCTGCTCAGGGGTAAACCAGAGCACAGCCCTATTGGTGTCTATGGGCTGCAGTGGGACGTGACTGACCGGCTCATCGTGGGGGGTCTTTTTGTCTTTGGAAGCCTCTGCCTCCCCTGCTTGCAGCTGGCACACCTCCTCCCGCAGAGGAGCATAAGGGGATGGCCTGGTGGGGCTGTTGGCACCCCACACATCATCCTCATAATCATAGTGGGGTGGGTGCGTGTCCACGGAGTCCTCCCCCTCCCCATTCCCGACCTGGCTCCTCTTGCCCTTGATGGCAGCCATAATGCCCCTCGACACCCCCAGCTCTGCTTCCAGCTCCTGGATCTTGGCATGGCATACCTTGTGATCAGGGCCAGTGCCCCGGTCCCGCTGGACGTCCTGCAGGACCGCCCGCACCGCGCTCTGCGCGTCGTGGGTCTCCCCGATCCACCTGCCAACCTCCTTCTTCAGCTCCTCCGTTTTCAGCTTCTCATACCCCAGCTTGTTTTCCAGCCGGGTGATCTCTACAGCGCTCCGCAGAGAATCCCCACACAAACCCTGCACCTCTGCCCGCAGGTTGTCCACCTGAACTTTAAGCTCAGCCTTGTCCTGCTCCAAGGTCTGCACGTTCTCAAGAGCCTCCTTCAGCAATCTGGACAACTCCCTGCCCACCATCAACAAACCCTGCAAAGCCGCTCGCTTCTTGCACTTGTTTGTGGGTTTGGGCTTTTTGTTCTCCTCCGACCAGCTCTCCCACTGCTGGCAGAGCTGCTGGTACGCCTCCGGGCCCTGGAAGGACCCCGGGGACCAAATTGCGGGGAGACACTTCTGGAGCACAAACTGCTCCAGCTTCCAGGTGCTAACGATATCGGTCATCATGGTTGAAGGGCACGAGATGTGAGACGGCTCTGTCTCAGACCAAAGCTATCATAACACCAGCACCGCCGGCCCACCCTCGGAGCAAGGCTGCGACCCCGCGACCCGCCCCTCCGAAAAGCCCTCCGGGGAGACGCCGAACCCGGGCGCGAGGGAAGGGGAAGGTGGGAAAGGTGGGAAAGATGGGAAAGGGTGGCTGCGGCCGAGCCGGCAACTGCCGCGACTCAGCAGCTCCCGGGAAGGGGACGGGGAAGGGATGCGGGAGCGGGAGAAGCAAAGCAGAGACAGAGTAAGAGCCCAGTAATAAGATCTCACCAATCCTTGGCTGAATGTCCTGGCAGTCCCGGGAAGCTGAAGACGGTCGCTGCAGAGTTCCAGCAGATTTGGCACCTTTAAGGTAAAGGTGGTCCCGACGTCTCAGCCCAGTGATTTTTATAGCCATGGCAGGTCGTTGTTTTGGGGTGATGACACCTGTGTTTAGTTCCTCGGTGGCTTTTCCTCCTCCACGTGCTGCCTTCCCAAGGACACTTCCCTTGTCTTTCCTTATCCTCTTCAACACTGATTAGGAAGCTGAAATCAAACAGCAGCACCTGCTCTGCCCCTTATCTATTTGGGGGGGGTCCAGGATTAGTCACCAATCGCTCAAACTTCTGCTTGCACCAAGTGTCCTGAAGAGGGAGAGCTGGAGCCTGTCCTCTCAGCGTCCATTCTCCCAAATCCCCCCGTGGCCCCTTCATTTACTGCACACCCCATTAGCATCTAGGATTTGGGGGGAAATCACACATGGGGCTCACACCTGACACCTCTTACACACACAGTCCCTCCAAGCCACCCTCCAAGCACAGATCTGTTTGCCAGGGGGGGTGAAATGGCAGGAAAATTTACACAGTTCATCATTTAGATCCATTTTGGCATCTGGTCTTTAAAAGCAGCATTTTTTCATGCCACATCCCAGCTCATCATACACTGACATGTACGTTAAGGGTAACCCCATGACATGTCAGGAGCCTCAGCTTTGATATTGCATCAGCTGAATTACAGCTGTAAATCTGCACCTGCAAAGGCCCCCCAGCCCCATCCTACAAACCACATCTTAGCTTGGAGCAGTTTAGAAAATTTGACCCACTTGTTTTGTTTTGAATTTTCTTTTCCTGCTATTACACTAAGAAAAAGGTTGGGGACGGTCCTGTGCAGGGCCAGGAGTTGGACTCAATGATCTTTGTAGGTCCCTTCCAACTCGACATATTCTGTGATTCTGTAATTCTGTGATCTGACTCAGTGAAAATGCTATCATTTTCATCACTGCTTTTATGCCTAATTAAATACTCCAGGAGCTACACCCTTCCCTGGAATAAAATCATTTCAAAAAAATTAAAAGAGGAAAAAATGTTCACATGTGGCTGCTTGAATCCCAGGGAGTTTCTGTCCTGCACTTCATTATCCCCAGCAGGCCCTTGTTTCTAGATACTGCCCAGCCGGACCATGTGGGACCAGACTTGGGGCTGAGCAACCTTCCCTGACCCCAAAAGTCAGCCCTTGCAGCCCCAAAAGCACATAGAGAATGCATTTTCCCCCTGTTTTTCTCGGAGCTGTTTTCTCTGGCCTTGAATTTACAGCCCAGCTGCAGTTACCTCTGCTGCAACATGGGAGTTTAACAGAGATGAAACCCCAGTCAGGTCCTGCTTCTTGGCTGTAAACCCTGTTCTTCTACCCCAATGTTTTGCTCCCGCCCCGCAAAACAAACACTTTGCTGCAGGAAACTCATCACAGGGAGTAAAGAGAGAGTAAAACACGTAACAAAGCTGGTGAAAGCACCAGGAGTGAGTGTCAGCCTGGTGAGGTGGGCAGGATGCAGGCTAGGGAAAAGAAGAGGGGCTCTTTCCCACTGAGATGGGTCCACAGGGAATTGGCTAGGCTGGGGACAGGGATGGTTGTCTTTAATGTCAAAAAAAGGATAAAATTCTCCTAGAAATTGTGCAAAAGCACCAAAATTCAGCGATCCCCCCCACCTTGGCCCAGCTGTTAGCCAAACACTCGTGATTAGGAGCCACTGTACCCCCAGCAAGGTCACCAACAAATCTTGCTTGTGTGTACAGATCAGATCAACTTACACCCTTCTTTCCTCCCCTACTTTCTTCCCAGGACAGCAGCCCCAAACAATGTGGGGATGTTGTAAACAGCAGGTGTCTCCTGCACGTTCCCACAGCGCTTTGATTTTTGTTGGCGATGTGCTGCCAGACAAAAGCATCCCTCCTTCAAAATGTTTTCTTGTAAGAGCGATACCCAGTCCTGAGAACAGTCAGTGAACATCTTCACTGCATATAAACAACAGCTTTAAAAAAATTAAACTTAATCCTTCTTCCAGTACACACTCTATGCTTTTACATTGCACATATTCCGTTTTCTTTCCATAGGTAAAAGTACTGCAGGGAAGCTGCTATAATGTCTTGGGGAATCATCCCAGTGTAATATCCCCGTGTTCAAGGTTGTAGTGGTGACAAAAGCCACCTCTTGGACAAACTCTTGTCCTGGCCAGGAAGCCTGAAGATGCTCCAGGTGACAGTGAGAAAAGAGGAACACAGCCATTGCAACAGCCAGGGGTATTGGGCTCATTTCACTGACTTCACCACAGAGATGAAGGCAAAATTCACTTGCAGTGCCATTTATTATATTAAGTACTCCCTGTCTTTCACCCCCCACAAAAAAAGAGGTGTATCACCCCATTCTGAGGAGGCCCCAGTTTGAGAGTGATGTGAAACAAAAGGGGACAGATGAGCAGCAGGTGAGGAAGGGAGAGGCAAGTGTTGCTGTGTCCCACATGAGGGGCTCAGCTCTGAAAACAAGAGCTTAAAAGCACTGAAATAGGTTTGAAAATGCTAAAATTACTTTCTCCTGACAGGAAAGAGTTAAGGAACAATTCAGCCCACCCTAAATTTTAGCAGCTGAGCACTTTGTGGCAAGGCTTTTGCAGTTAGCAACCAGCTTCAAGCAGGAAATTAATTTAAACAGAAAAGGGGAGAGGATGTGTTACATCAGCATGGAAAAATGTAGTACAAAATGGACCAACAACTTACAGTGTACCAGACGCAATATAATTTTTTGTATTCTTCTGCCAGCTCAACCCTAGGGGAAATTTCTCGGTGCCCCCACGTGAGACTCCCCTTGCTGGGGAGATGCTGGGGTGTTGTAAGGACCACAAGTATCTGCACAAGAGGGACATGAAACTGAACCTCACTTGGCAGCAAAGAAGGCAGTAAATAAATAAAAATAATAAATAATTTACATTTTTTTCCTGATCATGGAAATATTGAAGGCTACTGACACCAGCTCACCCCTTTAATTTCACATCATGTATTTCCCTCTTTGAATACTAAACCCCAAACGCTTCAAACCTCTTCCTCACAAAGACATTTCAAAGCCACTCTGATATTTTATCATTTGAATGATAAAATTGTGAAATTCTGCATATTTCAGAGCGCTGTCACAGCTACCAAAGCAGCACTTGCCACGGGGTGGGGAGCCCCAGCAGAATTTCCTTATTTTTGTGGTTTTTCAGCCACAAATTTGTTTGAGGTTTCTTGCTCTTGACTTCAAAGTTTTCTGTGATGCCTCACATCTCTGCTTTATGGCAGGTTGGTCTGGTGTTCAGCATTTTCCAGAGAAAAACACCTCCTGCTAAAACTTCTGCTGAAGAAAACAACCCCGCGGATCAACCCGCATCTTTTCCTTATTTTGAATGCTTTTCGATTTCAGCAGAGAAAAAAACAGCCAAAATTCATCCTTCCCTGCTTTTATCTTTAATGCCAAGCTCCTACATTAGTCACTTTTTAATCGCAAAGAAGTAGATTAAAAGAAGGAAGAATAACTAGGTGGTGAAATATGAAGAAATCATAATTAAAAATCAATTAGGTTTTGGGGTTTTTTTTTTAATATTCCTAGAGAGGATTTGAGGGTAACCTGTGCAGTGCTGGACGTGGGGCTCAGCGAAGAAGAAGCTGCCGTGCTGAGGCTCCAGGTGCTGCCGTGGCAGATGCTCTTTGGCAGCCGTTGGGGAGACATCTGCGCCGGGACAGGGAAGAACTTCCTGAGGTGAAGCCATCCCTTCCAGCAGGAGGTGACTGTGGGTGGAGAAGGGGAGCTGGCACAAACCCCTCCATCACTGACTCCACCACCATGGCCCGGCCGTGGCTCCATCTCTGCATCTGCCTTCAGATCTCAGGTAAGAAGGACACGTCTCTTAAGGGTCGAGGGCACCTAAAATCATGGTGGAGCCTCTCCTCCGCCCTACTGCGGCACGTGGGACACATTGCACAGCATCTGGATGATGGAAGTTTAAACATATAGGCATAGTATAGATCTACAGGATATTATTACCTATCGCCGCATAATTTTGGATCGTGTCATTAATAACATGCTTTGGCTTTTGGTCAGCCCTCAATTGGTCAGGCAGCGGGACTAGATGGTCACTGTAGGTCCCTTCCAGCTGAAATAGTCTGTTCTATTCTATTCTATATTCTATTCAGAGCTCAATACATATAATGGTATAGACGCCACAGAGTTTGTTTTTACTGCACCCTCAGTGCAGATGGACTGTAGGAAGCTGCTGATGGAGAAGTTAAAGTAGCACCTGTCTATGCTGCCTGTGTAGCACGAAGGCAATAAACATCCCATAAAATTTGCTTCTAAATCATCCAAAGACTGAGTATTTCCCAAGGGCCACAGCTGGAATTGGTGTGTTATAAAACCGTGCCTTACAGGCACTAATATCCTATGGATCCGTACGGTGGGGAGCCCGCTGAGAAAGCCTCAATAAATGAGAGTTTGCTCTGCACACATAAAGGGAAAAGAGACCATTTTTAAGGTGCTACAAGCTGGTCTGGCCAAGCATGTGCAATCACCATGATTCCCTGTGGTCCCCCACCAGGAAAGGGAACAGGGAGGTTTTGGAGGGTGAAGGTATGACTGAGGCTGGGCTTTTCTGCTCTGGCTTCGTCCCAGCTCACCCCACTGGAGCT